GTTAAGATATTGTCAATCACAGTTGACCCCTGCACCTTTACAAAAACTGAAAAAAATCAAATAAAAGTTATACTTCATGAATCCATAAATATTTCACCCCCAAAGCAAATGACGTTTAACAACACACGAATCATCTGTTAGGATAACGATGGTGATCTGTCGGTCCTTCCATCACTTTGGTCCAAACTGAATTATCTGCTGTAGGCTGAGGCCGGTGTTTGTGTTGCCTCGTGATCCCAAAGTGTTTCTTGTCAGTCACTGTGCAGGAGGGACGCTCACCCTAAAGACGACAGGACCCTTAATGTTGAGGCCAAGATAGAAACTTATGGAGCTCCACCTTGAATCTCCAGATTCAACCTCTGTTGAAACCTTTATTTTCCTACCTCTGGCCCAAACAAACACTCCCCCTTGATTGTGCTCGACCCTGACCGGGAGAAGGATGTTTTGGATTTCCGGCACTTGCCACACTTCACCTGTCATCCACATTTCGTTAATCCGACTTTCTTTCTCCAAATTAGGTGGATGTCCTTCACCAGCCAGCTCAGTGTCCACCGTGTTTTCCACAATTCCATCCAGGCGTGATTTGTGAATCCATTTGCTCAGTCCAGAGCCCTTACCCAGAAAAAACAGAGGCAAAAGGTGACGGGATCGAAGGTACTTGGCATACTTGGTCCTCTCATACGCTTTTTCCATAAAGGTGACATACTTTTGAAGGTGAGGGCCACAAATGAGGTCAAGAGGCAGCTGTTCAGACTCCCCTCGTGTTTCTTCTTCCTCTCTACTTCTGTCACCTGAACAGTCGTCAATATCTGTGGACGGTTGCTTCTCTTCTTCATCTTCCTTGTCTTGCACCACCGGAGGCTGTTCCCCAGGCCACAACAACATCAGCACCAAGAGGTAGAACTCAGGACTTCTCCGCCTCCTTTCTGTGTCCAAGAATCTCAAAATGATTTTTCGGAGTTCTTCCACTGAGGTAAGCTGAGGAGAATCTGGCATCCTGTTGCTCAAGATGATGTTGGAGAGGATGTACCTCTCTGCTACATGGACATCATCAACATTTTCCTCATAGGTGTTTTTCAAAACTTCTTGGATTTCCTCTAAATCAGCCCCTGATTTCTTCTCCTCCTGAAACCGTGCACGGTTTCCCCTTGACGTGAAAAGGCCCAGATTCAAACAGTAGAGGAGGCCTGGGAAGCTGGTGGATTCAGCTGCGTTGTTTGTTGTGTAATGTTCGTAACAGAGGGCAACATCCTTCCAGAAGTAGTTTGGCTCTGGAGTCTCGTCGGGCATCGAGTAGGTCAGGTACCACTCAAAGAATTCAAACTTTTTTTCAACTTTCATTTTATTTTTTTTGATTAAACTCCTGCGTTGCTCATCACTGAGTTGTTTTTTTTCAAAGGCGATCTTTGCCACTTGAAGGAAGCCGAAAAGGCCCCGATTGTTGAACAACTCTGAAGTGGGCGTAGAACCTTCTGTGTCCATCTGTGGTTGCTCTTCTCTGTCTGCCTTCCTCTCCACATCTTCAAATGCTCTGAAGGCTTTTACTGCCATTTCCATGATTTTTCCATTTGTCTTAGAGTCCCTCAACAAAATGTTCTTGTAAACCTGCCCCAGAGTGTCAGCTATGTACGAGTTGTCTGGAGCTCGAGCAATGGCTATTTTTGCCCAGTGTTCAGCCTCCTCATAGTCAGGTGGTCTTCTACCAAGGTAATTCAAACGAGAAACAACTTGGGGGAAAATGGAGTTCTGTCTGAATTTATTTGACGCAGTCCTCAAGACAGAAAAAGCTCTGGTAAAATTCTCATGCTTCAGAATATCTTCAACCAACCTTGAGAACTTCTCTTTACCTTTCTCTCCCATTTCTCTCTTTGTCAGCAAATCTTTGATGAACAGCAGAACATGTGGTTGGACCTCTGCTCCACAAAGTGAGACCATCATTTTCTTCACTGTATCACTCCTGGAAATGTCTTTGGCAATTATCTCCACAGCAACACATGCAAATCCTTGGTGAACCATACACACCTTTCCATTTGATATCCTGAAGAACCTGGTAAAAGGCTCCATTCTCTTTTCAAAGGGGGGGCCTCCATGGATGGGATCAGGTGGACCAAGGATCCGTTGACACTCAGCCATCAGAAGGTAGGACTCAGGAACATACAAGTTCAGCAGTCCCACCATACAGAACAGTTTTGTGTTGGTGGCGTCAGGGTTTTCGTTCACATACTGTAGAACTCTAACAAGGTAGTCCACTGACACCTCACTACCGTCAGCAGAGGATTCATCACTGGTGTGAGAGGACTGGCTGTCTGGGGATCTACGGTCCATCACGTTGCTTTATACACAAACAAGGTTTATCGTAATGATCGGAGTGAACCAAGAAACTTTTGCATTTCTCCCTGGTTCTGCTTTAACGGGTCAGTCCAGCAGATTTCAAATACCTGAGGAGGAGAGAACAGAGCCTGCATGAGCTCCATTTAAAAACACACAATAATTTATAAAGCACATTGGAATCAATATACCACAAATCATCTTTAACGGGTGAAACTGACTGAAAACACTAAGAAAGTTTTCATATTTGCATTTAGCGACACCATCAGGCCAAAAATGGAATAGATACAATATTTTAATCCTCGACTGAACAACAAAACTAACAACATTCCCCTCATCCCCAGCGGTACTATGTCCTCAGCGGTACTATGTCCCCAGCGGTACTATGTCCTCAGCGGTACTATGTCCTCAGCAGTACTTTGTCCTCAGCGGTACTTTGTCCTCACTGGAGAATGCTCACATGCTAAACTAAGACAATGAACACAGTGTACGTTCTAATTTCTAAGAGTAGCATGTTAGCATTTAGCTGTTACTTTAGTATGACGTGTAAGGGCAGAATTAACTGGTTATTCTAGTTAATTAATGATTAGCATTTCTGACTGCAGACTTGCATTGACTCACCAGCAAGAGATGTTGTACACAACCCGGAAACCCAGCGGTTCTTCTTGATGTTTTATATCTGATCTGTAAAAAAAACAAGTTTAGCAACTTAAAATAAAATAAATAAACCCTTCATGATGAGTGATTGAATATAAAATGGAACCTTATTGGGTCTTGTGTCATTTAAAGATGCAGCTCACTGACCTGCATCAACAATATACGGTGACGATACAGATTCATTTATGCCCAAATATATTTGGCTGAATATATAGAATTAAATATTACACCCCCAAAGATAAACATTTCCAGGAATATCTTTTTGGATTATATGAAAAATAGAAAATCATTATTGACATTTACATTTAAAGTAAATTGAAGGAGAACACGTTGGAGAAGCTCCAGTAAGATACGGACACATAAGAAAAAATAAACAACAAACGTTAATGCAAATCTTTTTACCTGATTCAGATCCGACCGGTGTGTGTGTGTGTGTGACAGCAGATCGGTTCTTATAAACATTGTGAAGCCACTCCCTCTGCATTCTGTACATACCGTAGCTGTGTTGTTAATTTCCTTGATGATATCAATCACAACAATTAACAATCACAATGCTTTTCTTCCGTAGGACTTTTTTTAATAGCTGTACCATTTACTGAGAAATGAAACTGTAGTTCAGTCACTTCTGGAAAATAGAGTCTTTCCTGTAAACGCTCCAACAAAAGCCTCGCTCTGAAACTGTTCAGTTTAATGGGAAAATGATTCAAACCCAAAACAGCATAAATAATAAATTATATGTGGGAAACATTGTCAGTGTCGCTTTCCTTTTCAGAAAGTTGTTTTCAGTTTGTTATTAATAAATACTCTTTTGTAAGTTTCCTTCCCTGGGTTATTTATATTGGTACTCCTCTCATCCCCTGGACGTAAATCAGGGAACGCAACAGCATAATATAGATACGAACATATTGTCCGAAGCAGATTCGAATATTCTGAAGTTTCAAGAGGGTAAAATTCATCATTAGTGAAATAACAGGACACGATGCATATGTACATTGAATATTAGGAGCAAAGATACAGAACTGTTTAAATCAACCCACTAATAAACTAATGATGGATTCATGCTTGGGTAGAGTTGACTAGTTCCTTCAAAAAGTGTTTTGAAAGTATTGAAGTATACGTAACTTTGTAAATGTTCGATCATTTCAATTCTAAATGAGCAGAACATCTCACGTGATGTCAGAACTTATTTATTGTATCCGACGCTTCTGTCAACGAGAGCGTTCCTTCTCACTGTGTCTGGGACGAACTGTTTGATCAATGACGGCCAGAACTAAGATGGTGCTTTTTGTACAGGACGTTTTTCACTAGACTCTACAGACTGTGTGTCTATGTCTGTCTGTAGAGGTCTGTTCAGGGCCTGTGGTCATAACTCGCCCATGACCTCAACAGGAGCCATACGTGCACATCATTCAGCATCCTGCCAGGGGAAACAAAATTAATGACTTAAATGAGCACAAACGAATTCTTTTATTCTTCGTTTTGCTATTTGAATAAAGATATTGTGAAGACAACGCCTGCTGACATGGTGAACCAACGCCTGGGCTCATGCATACGACTCACCCGTCCTCTCGTTGGAAGATGAGTCCACTTTTGTCACTTGGCCAGCTGAGATTAAAATCGTTGGCGCTCCGTGGTCTCAGGTGCGTCTCCACCTGCATGGAAACTTTACAGGTCACTCTTCCTGCAGCCCCACCCACAGAAAGTGGACTCACTAGTTTTGAATGTCAGAAATGTCTCAAGAGCGTCAAGACCTGGATGATTCAGAGACTCCCTCCATTTGTCTGTTCCGTCTTCTCTCTTTGTCTCTCTCTTTTCCACCCATCTCTCCTCTCTGCTCACTAACCGGTCAAGGCCGATGTCGTCCGAGTAGCGTCAATTTCTGTTTCAAATATGTCTGCAGATCACGTACACCGAGTTTATACATTTCTCTTACCTCTTTGAGGGACTGATCGATGTCCCATTAGCTAACACGGAGGAGGCAGGGTTTACACAGCAGCCAGCCACCAGAGGGCGATGAACAACGTTTTAGCTCAACAAGCCAAACAGAAAATCCCCAAATGTGACACGTGGTAACTCGCTGCTGAACTGATGCGCGTCACCATCTTGTTTTCTAGACGTGAATTAATATATATATATATATATATATATATATATATATATATATATATCAGGGGACGAGACAACTCTGGGGGGGTCAAAGGTCACCGAGCACAAAATGACTAAAGTTTGCTCAACTGAGGTGAATCAAGAATATTAACAGATTTCTTTAGAATATACATAATCATGAGTTCTGCTCTGAGTTTTGTCAAAAGATAAATGTCTATAATTTACCTAATCAACACTACGCACTGTATATGACAGATACGCAGACACACTGGACTTTTTAAGTTGAAAGTTCGACTTTTTCCCGACGGTCACGCGTGAAAACGGATTTAGTGGCGCAGTGTGCAGCCTTCACGCATCAACAGAAACATGCCACGGCAGCGACAGAGGAAACAGACCACTGAAAACTACAACTCCATTTCATTTTATTACAAAAACAAAAACAGGATTTTCAGAATTAACAGTACAACATATCTACTCAGAATGAACCAAAGAGAAAAGGGGACAGAGGAGGACAAGTGCGAAAGAGACAGTGTATGTGTGAGCCTGTCTGCAAACGTTTACAAACCCGTTCAAATAAGAATTATCAGAAAATGTGTATCTGCCCACCCCCCCCCCCCGTCAAAGAAAAGAAATGTTCCATTTAATTACCACAATTTAACGAACACAGAAGAAAACATGGCGGGAAAGTGAAATGTAGACGAGGAGGAGGAGGAGGAGAGGGAATCTCAGTTTTTATATAAAACACTTGGCAGAGGATCGGTCAGGTCTCATCTTTTATTATTCATTAGTTAAGAAACTTATTTTTTTTTAAACAAAAAAATAAACAATGCTCGCAATTAAAAACCCATTTAAACACACACACACACACACTTGCACGCACACACACACACACGTGAAACCCTGATAGATGGATGGAGATGGGAAGAGGGAAACAAAAGAGAAATGAGGAAGGAATGAAGAGGGAGAAGAGCTGAAGAGTGAAGTGTGCGACTGCTCCTTCTTTAACGTCTCTACGTTGACACTTCACTGACCAACACAAAAATAAGGGCCGTCTACGTCTTTATACACATCGTGTGTGTGTGTGTGTGTGTGTGTGTGTGTGTGTGTGTGTGTGTGTGTAAGAAATGTTCGGGCAACAAGAGTCAGTTGGGGTGGGAGGAAAGGTCAAGGGTCAGCTAGGTTTTGGCAGTGTGTGTGTGTGTGTGTGTGTGTGCGTGTGTGCGTGTGTGCGTGCGTGTATCTGTGTGACATTTAGGACCGTCGCTTCTTCTTGCTGGGCGGGGCTGACGGCCGGATCTTCCTCTTCCTGTTGGAGGTGTCCTCGTCCTCGTAAGTACTCTCTTTGTCAGCTGGAGGGCGAGAAGATTTATTTTACCGTTGTTCACTTTGACCTGTTCTCCAACATTAAGAAGGTCTGAGGAGGAATCGGCTGCAGATACAAACCTTTCCTGGCTTCTTCCTCCAGCTCGTCCCAGTCTTTCCCGCTCTCCTCCTCGCTGCCCAGCGACTCGCTGTACTCCACTGAACATGAGACATTAAGAACTCGTATCAGGAACATTTTACCAAAGATTCTGTACAAATGGAACCAACGTTATTTACAGATTTCACATTTAGAAAACTTTTACTACACCGCACCCGAGTCCTCCGTCTCTGAGCTGTAATCCTCATCACTGTCCTCCTCCTCTTCCTCTTCCTCGTCTGCTGACGGGTTGAACGTTTCATCCTCCATCTCAGATTCTGAATCCTCCTCTCCTCCACTTCCCTGAGACGGAGACGAGACACAGTAATGCAGACGTGATCACAGACAGTGAAGAGTAACCACAACTGTATTGTTTGTTATTTAAGAAGCGGAACATCGGGAGAAATACTGTGAAAACATTTGTTTCCTCCACACGTGAAACATACTTCGCTCTCTGGGTCTAAGAAGGACCAGCCCCCCTGCTCAAAGAAACCCTCGGGGTCGTCCACGATGGTCTTCATGATCTTGGTCCAGTTCAGAGACTGGACTCCCTCCGTGTACTTGATGTCACACGAGCTGAGTAAGAGACAGGAAACATTAACAGACGCAGGCGTCACTTAGACCTTCAACGATAAAAACATGAAATGGTGTCAGAGGTCGTACTTCAGCCACTCCTTGATGGGGTCCAGGGAGTTGACGGGCACGGCGTTGATCATGGTGACCTTCTTGTTGTAGTCCTTGTAGACAATGACCACGTCAAAGTTCTTAAGGTGGAACTGCACGCGCTCAAAGTGGACCAGCTCCACTTCGTCCAGGGTCACGGCAAACGGCGGCTTAACGGGGACGGAAAGTAAAAATACATCAACGACACAGTTGAACAACTCAATCTTTTGTGCAACTGGTTAGATTTTATTTTTCAAAACGTCTGTGCACCAAAGTGAAACTTATTCCAGAACAGCATCCGAGTAGCACTCACCCATTCAGTGACATTGACAAGGGAACTGGATGTGGGTTGTAACAGGCAGGTGCTCCTGTAGGGGGCGCCCTGGAACCTGGAAACAAAGATGCACAGCGAAAACAATGAGTCCACCTGCTTATGGAGCTGTTCTCCATGTTATCGTACGGTCACGTCCGTCCGGACATCCGCTCACCCCAGGTCTCTGAAGGGCACCTCGAACTCCAGCTGCTCTTTCGTCAGCGTCTCCACCTTCTCGATGAAGTTCTTGAAGGCCGACTTGAGCTTGTGCCTCATCTCCCGCTCCATCTGCTCGGCGTACAGGTCGTCTCGGTCGTGCATGTGTTGGTGTTTACCCAAGTCTGTGGTGATCTCCCCGACTTCTGTGTAGAACTGGACGTCTGTGTGGCGTCTCTTGCCAAACATGATGGCGTTCTGGAAGGAAAGGTGCGATAGAGAAAAATCAAATACTGAAAAACCCAAATCCTAAATCGTAAGGCATTCTTTAAAAGCAACGTTAAACTGAGCAACAGGTAAAAGTTAAATTTTACTTATCGGCAAATCTAAAGCTCAGGAACTAAAATGGTTTAGTCCACAAAAAGCACAAGGCTCATCTTATCTCAGAGCCTGAGCTGAGATCATTTCACCAGCTGCTAATGTTGATTCATTCAGAGAAAGTAAAACAAGCTCATTCCTCAAAAATGAGGTTGAACCAGTAAACGCACTCTGAGGTGGAAGTGCAGAACGATGATCATCTCCCCGTCGCACGGCTGGAAGATGGCGTGTTTGATGTTGTTGTAGAGGATGTCCACTTTGTCTCCGCGGACCGACGTGAAACGGAAACCTGGACGAGGAAATCACAGAGGTTAACTTTACGCTGCCTCACAGTTCTTAAATCTACCACGAGAAATAAATCCTGCTTCGTCACCGTTAGTATGAGCCTCCAGCGAGCCCTGCATCCTCTTCTGGGCGATGTTGGGTCGGATGTAGAGGTCTTTGAGCTTGGGGTTGCTGCGGTTGAGGTTGATGACCAGCGAGTCTTGCTTGACGATGCCCTCCTTCTCCTTCTCCTCTGCCTCTCGCGTCTTGTAGCGTTTCTGTACCTCCTTGATGATGCGGAAAGCGTTCTGCAGGTTGGTGGAGGGCACCGACGTGTCGCCGGGGGCCTTCAGGTTGGACGCTCGGTACGTGCTGACGGGGGAGGAAGGGAGTTACTGGTTAGAAGGTGGTTGAATTAAAAGTGTAATCTACACACAGTCATAAAAATAAGCAGGTGTACAAACAAAACCTCTAAATGAAGACACTAAATACACAATTTATAATTCTTATAATCCATCTGGCTGCCAAACGTCAAGTTACAAATTTCAGTTTCCTGGACTTGAAACATTTGAATGATTATTTAGTAAAATATTTAAGACTCACATTTCCTTGACGAACGTGGCATCAGGGTTGGGGAAGATATTTCCCTCTTGTCGACCCAGAGAGCTGCCGGGGACGTAGAAGTTGATCCTCAGGTAGGTGTAGTCTCCTTCTACCGACATACTGATGTTCTGAACACGAGAGAAAAAGAAACATCAGATGATCAATCAAACAAACAACAAATCCAACGCCGGTCAGACGGATGGAGATTTCCTCGGCGTACCTTGATGGTGGCGATGTGGAACGGCGTGGCGATACCAAAGACGGGCATGACGACCGTCTCGTACTTCTTGTCGATGAAGATCTTCATTTCTCTGATGTCTCTTTCTCTGGGCATCTGAGACACGTTCTTATAGGACACGTTCGATTTTCTTGCCCTGAGGGGAAAAGAGTTAATTCAATTAAAAAACACAAGAGGTGATTACAGCTCAGTGACGTTTTCACCACGATGGAAGATTTGAAAACATTCCTGAAGCCGTCTGTCAGTGTCTAACAGGGGGGGGGGGGGCATCACGATGTTTCTTAATCTTAATCAACGGAATAATCGATAGAATACTCGCTTACTGAAATAATCCATAGTTTAGATTTAGCCAAACACAATTCGACCCTCTCCTCGTTTGTTCCATCTTCTAGCGCCCCCTTCAGGCTCCCGTCACTCACTTCTGAATCTGCTGCTCTCCCTTCTGCTCCGTCAGACGGCGCTTGGCTTCTTCGTTCAAATGATTGGCCAACTCCTTCTGGTGGGTCCGCCTCTTCTCCTCCGCCGTCATCTCGTTCTACGTTTGACAACAGACACAACTGAGTGACAACACCTCCAACACCAGCAAAAAAAAACAAAACAAAAAAAAACTGAATGGAACCACAACACACATGCAGAGTACAGACGTATGTGTGTATGTGTCACAGCGTTGGATGGTCAGAAAACACACAGAACAAAAAAAGAAAAACCTCGCTGAAATGAAAATGAAACGTTTTCCCATCAGGATTCTTATTATAACTGAACGAGCTGAGCTGATGAGATTTGAGAAGAAACAATGAATACTTACCTTCCCCAGTAGCTGGTAGAGTACAGAGACATTCACACTTAGTTATTAACGCAGAGTCAAGGTGACAAATAAACACTGATCACCTGTCACATGGAAAACAACACACTCACTCTGGTCCTGTCCGCGAGCAGCGCCGCGCTCCGAGCTCCCTTCCCCAGCAGCTCCTCGGCATCGTCGCCATCTTCTTCCTCGTCCTCCTCGTCGTCATTCTGAGAAACGCGACAAGAAAAACATATGAGGTCACTCGTGTTCTCCCTCGACATCACTTCTACGTGTGTGTGTGTGTGAAGATCGAGACCCTGCTACCTCCAGAGATGGTGAAGTCTGACACCTACCTTCAAAAAGATCCCCACGTTTTTGATCTTCTTCTTGACTGGTGTGAGTATCGTGGCCGCCTCTTCCTGTTACACAAACATTTCCAGTTGTCAGACGTTGGGCCTCTCGGCTTTTGGATTAAATTTTTTTTTAAACGTGTTAATAATAGCGAGCAGTGTGATTCTGGCATTCCTCTGAGAAGTTCTTTAGAATCACTCACCTCATTGATCTGTATTGTGTCACCAATAAATAAGGCATATTTCTTCTGCTCGTCCTTTTTACCCTCTTTATTCACAAGGTCAGCAAATCCCAAACTAATACTCAACACCATGCCTGCAAGACACACACGTTCTCAATTTAGGTTTGAAATAACTGGAAATCACTAAACCAAACCCTGATGAAAGTATAAGAGCAGAATCAAAGTACTAATATCTTCAGGTGAGGAATAAACTTGTGAGGAGTCAAAAGTACAAAAACTAATTCTAACCTTTTTTCAGTTTGTACTGGTTCTTAGCGTTCAGAACCAAAGAGCCTTCTCTGAACTCGATTCCCATCGCAAATCTACGAAGAACAACAAAAAACCGTCATGAGTGGAACAGAGGGAGAGAATGTGGAAGAGAAATGTGTGGACATTTACCCGAGGTTTTTCGTCAGCTTTGATACAAGGTCCGACTTCTCCTTCTTCACATAATCCAGAACGGCGTTGTAGGCGTCGCAGATTTTTACACCTGTGGAGGAGACGGAATTATGCTCAACAGGCTTATTTGAAACAAAATGCTTTTATTTTTTAGCTCAGGCTCAGATAAGACTTAGCCACACTCGCAGCATTCTCCGGAACCCACCGTGTTTGAGCTCTTTGAGCAGCTCCTCCTCCACCTGCAGCAGGAAGTTGTAGTTGTCCTGCATCTCCTGAGGAGGGTCCACCATGAGGGTTCGCACCAGGTTGGAGCAGTACGACTTGTAGCGGATTCCCATGGCGCACGTGATGGCACCAAAGTGGATGTGATTCTTGTCGCTGGTGCAGAGACAGACCGGCGTCGATTAACACGACAGCAGCGTCATTCATTATGTTTCAAAACCTTTGCTCTCGATAATCTGTTCTAATAATTCATCCTTTGATTTTTTTTTTAAGCAAAAAAGCCAAATATTTGCATTTTGACATTTCAAAGATCCACTAATTGAGATATTAACGAGCAAATTAATCCATATACAAATTGAAAAGATCAAATAAATGAGTGTAAATTCACTTTTCCTGCACAGATGCTCCTCAGACTCTGTTGAGACGGGCCAACCTACCTGACGACGCTGAACTTGAGGCTGTAGTTTCCACCGCTCTGGATGATGGGGGGATAACACATCTCCACCGTGGAAGGATCAGCACCACCCAGGTACTTCTTCTCCTCGATGGCCTTCTCTACGGACTCGGCCAGTTTGCTGTGACGCACTTTCTGTTGGACGAGGGAGAGAATACGCGCCAAAGATCAGCGTTAGTTCCAGCACAGAACGACCAGCTTTCGTCGTCTGCTGCTCCTGCTCCTGCTCCTCACCTCATCTGCATCAACGATCTCCATGACGCGCTCTTTGAAGAACTTGGAGTAAACCTCGCTGGTGATGGCCGCTGCCTTCTTCATCAGGTTGAGCTCCCCGTCTTCCTTCACCGCTGTCGTGTACGCGACCACAGCGCTGATGTCCACCTGCACACACGACACAAGTTAAGATGGGTTGTTGATAATGACTCCTACTAATTACAGGACCTGTAGCTTCAGCTCACGCGCTCCACCACGTCTCACCTTTTCCAGTCCCTCGGCAGTGATCGTGTCGTTCCAGCTCTTCATGTACTCTCCGGGGAACTTGTCCTTGCTGAAAATTCCCACCGCCTTTCCTTCTTTGCTGCCTCGGATCGCCTCGATCATCTTGTCAAAGTTGGCCTTGTTGCTTTCATTCTGAAAAAGCATCGACAAATTGAAGAGTCAGAGGAAGATTCAATCTCCTGAGTCTTCAGGAAACACCACAGGCTCCAATCTTAAAATCCCTCGTGGGTGACTAAACTAAGTGCTGTTAGTTTTACCTTCTCTCTGGTGAGCAAGGTGATGGGCGGGACACCGTTGGCGTTCTCGTTGCCTTTAGTTATCGCCACCTGTTTGAGGAAGTCCACTTTCTTCTTGCTGGCGAGGAAGATGATCTTGGTCTCGCAGAACACCATGATGGTGTCCGTCAACTCGTAGCCAAACAGCCACGTCTGAGGAAAACAAAAACAAAAAAAAACGAGAGTGAATCAATGAACTGAAAGAGAAAACAGGTTTCCACACTCAGCAACGCAATCACACGTTGCACGCAATCCAGAAAAGGAACCCAGAACATGTGGTCATAGGTTAACTGTAGTTACATCATGATCTGTTTATTGCAGCACCTGACTGTGGAGTCCTCAGCATCCTCTGGGTTTCATCACGCGGCGTCCTTACCTGTATGGCTGTGGATTTGGCGTAAACGATCTCCTCGTCCACTCCGACTGAAACCACGATGGCATCGACTTTGCCAAACTCATCGTCTCCTTTCTGCAAGATCACAAAACAGAAGAGAGCACGTGACTCGATCATGCACATGAAGAGGAAATCCTAAGAGCAGACTGAGGTTCTATCATCACCTATTGTTTCAGGAAGTGTGTGCAGATAAAGTACTGGTGCCATATTATTAACAAGTGTGTGGAGTCAGTGGTAGATGAGGATCAGCCTCTGATGCTGCACGGAACTGTCTCTCAAAGCTCATTCAATGTCTTTTAGGGACAATAACAATGCAGATATCACTATTATATAAACGCACGATACAATCATCTGCAGGATTTAGCTGCAAAAATAAACAACCCCGTCATGTTCTGACTTCAGAAACACTCGCTCGTGTTCGTGTGGTGATAAAAGCAGCAGCGGGGTTTCACGTGGTGGGATTCGACACGTTTAAAAACTCAATCAGGCGATTTCCAGAAGCTGCACATGTCACTTTATTCCGATGCTAATTAGCCTGCTAACATTAGCATGTGGCGACCGTTACAGGCGCAAACTGACAGTTAGCTTGAAAACAGCGTCGTGTTGGTCCGAAGGTCTTTTAAAGACTTGGATCCAGTTGTTTCTGTCACTTTCAACGCGGTTTATTCGTCACGTTAACCGGCGCTGGGTCGCTACGCGCCCAGCCGCTTGGCTCGCGAGCTAGCTCGGTGGTAAACTTGCGAGCTAGCACGCTAACGCGGTGAATGGGACGCCTGGCGGAGCTAGCAATGGAGGCAGCTAGCCCGTGTGTGCCGCGGGACGAGACAGGCGGGGACGCGTGTCCCGGTGGACGGCGGAGACGTCAAGTGAGTAACTCGGTTTACGCGGGGAGAACCGAGGGGGGCCGAGGCCCGACGCGGACACAGAAGCCCCGGGTGTCGGCGCTGGACGCGGGCGGGGAGACCGCGCCGCTCCCCCCCCCCGACAACAGAGGCAACAAGCTCGGCTAAAAAAAAAACAACCCCGCGGTGGTTAGCATGTCCGCACACTTCACCACCTCCAGGTTGTGATTAAAGTGTGAGGCCACATCCAGACACCCCCGGCCCGGCCCGCTCTACCTTCCAGTTGCTGTATAATCTCTTGATGCGGCGGTAGTACGCCTCCTTGTCCAGGTTTACCGCCATGGTGAGTGCTCTGCTGCGAACTCCAGCTCCCGGCTTCGCTTCTCAGCAGGCCGGAGGAAGATGAGGATGAAGAGGAGGAGGAGGAGGGTGATGATGATGATGATGATGATCCGAGTCAACCCACAACAACGCACTTTCTCTGCTCGCCCGCTGAGACGCCTCCTCCTCGGGCCGGGGGAGACGCTGCTGCCGCCGGCTGTGAGCTTCTCGACGCGGAGGATTGAAAACACGAAGAAATCTGGAAATGCGAGATGTTATGAGCTCCTCTCTCCTCCACACACACACTCAGTCATTAACTCCCCCCTCCTCCTCTGTGCCTCCCCCTCCTCCTCCCCCTGCACTCCTCATGTAACACATATTATAATAAACTCTCTTTATTGTCCCTCTGACGTCAGATGTTCAGTAACAACATGTTTACACGTCATCACGCTCCATCGCTTCTTTACTTATTTCGTCACTTTGTCGTTTTGTTTTTTTTTACTTTATTAGTTTGTGGCGCGTTTGAATGTGACGCGGGGACAACAGCGCCCCCTGGCTCTGTGTGGGCCACGCTGCTTTTCTTTCCCGCCACGATGGATTTTCCCGCCACCGTCATCGAACGCGCTAGGTGACGTCACGTTCGCGATACGAGCGACGGGATCACACGAGAGACACGTGACCGCCAGAAGCATCCATTACGTTTTTAGAGAAATGTACTCTTTACGTTATATTTTCATCATTATATAT